GAGAAAGCGTGCGGGTACCTGAGGGTCCCATAAACTAAGCCGTTTCCCCGAAAAGTCGAACGAGGGGGCTCCAACGGTTTTTCGGAGCAACGCGAGATACGACGCGGAGAGGACACTCTGGAAATAGCCGTCGAGCGAGACGGACACCGGAGCACTTAGCAGTCGCTTAGAACTATAGTTTTATACATTTTTGAATACCACCCTATCCTGGGTTAAATTCATTTAAGTTGTGCTTACAGTGGATTTTAATTTTCAATCATTGCGAATTTTTGGTACTAAGGATTGCAAAATTTGGACTCGGAGAGATCGTGAATTTTAATTTCGAAACGTTTTGCAGGGTAAATTGAAAAGTTTGATCATTTGAAGTTTGAACGATTCTGGTAGATTTTAATTTTGAATCGTAAAGCATCTTTCTATGGAACAATTATAGATTTCCGCGGTCCTCGATTTGTCTATTTTGAAATAGATTAAAAAGAAAGAGGCTACTTTGACATTTTTCATCGAATTAACGTGTTAACGATCTTGTTCGTGTCGTTAACATTATCACTTTAATAATATCACACATTATTATTCTCGGCGGTAGAATTGATTTCAAAGAGAACTAAAGATGACAAAGTCCTTTGTGTTACTGAAATGGAATCTAATGCTTCAACGAAATATGAATAATTATTTGATAATTATATACAGCTTAAGAAAAGGAGGGGCTTCGTTATTATTACACGAAACCTGTATTCTATGCGTTTATATTAACGTCATCCACATTACCAAGAGCTAATTTAAATATAACAATTTTCACGGTTCACCTGGCAGCAATTAAAACAGTAAAAGGGTTGCTTTAATAAATAATTACACCACATTTATTATTAAAGAAACCCTAGAAAACAGATGTTTTCCAACTGTCCAAAAAATCCTCCTTCATTTTACATCTTTACTTTTCAAAAATCGCAGGAAAAAGCTTTTTAATCCTCTGAAACCATTGAAACTTTTCATTCACTAGTGTAAGGGCTGTTTCGTCTAAATAATATTTGTCAGGATTATTTAAACTAATGTTGAAAACTACATTTATTAATCCGTCTGTCGTTGACGCCTCGTCCTTATCAACTACACGCTTCCTAATTCGTTCTAATACAATTCTCCGCATTCTTATTCAACGCGTCCTTATATACGAGCCTTGACGCCCCTCTCTTGCCTCCGGGAAACCCTGGCACAAGTTGGGGGTTTCTACCCAGCAAAGTCCTTACCTGACCCAGCCCTTAGCGCGTGGGGATGTCAAGGTGTTGGGACCTCTCGGCCTGCGGGTCGTAAGCCAGCCCGAGTCTCTACATTCGCTCGACCACACTCTTACACTAGTTACCCATGAAAAAGAATCCCAAACTTTACCTATTTCCGAACGCCTCAAACCATTAATTCCACAATTATCTAAATAACCAAGTCGTTCCAACGAAGTTTCTTCATTCGGTAATTAACCCCTTGCCTTGTAACGAGTCGCACTCGTGTAGTCTATTGACTTCTTTTTATTCAACACTGTATTGGAACAGTAAATAGCTGAGGCTGACATACTGTGACGCCCGGTTTGCTCCAATTCCTCGAAAGTAGGAGCAGATACTGGGGTATCGCTGAATTAAAACACTTAAGGATCGTCGTTGCGTAGAAGCAGAACTTTATTTGACGGAGATATTGACGTTACGTGACGTGCGCGCGGCGAAATAGAGAATGAGTGCAGAAACGGGGAAAATAGGGCTATTTGAGGGTTCTGGGAAGATGGACTTTGGGTTGTGACTATGCAGGAGAGTTGGAAGATGAAGAGTCCAGTATGAGTAATGGTGAAAGTGGGTGACTCGTTGTAAATACAGATAAACTGAGGCCTAAGAAGGAAAATATTTGAGGGTGTGACAATACGTAGTGACTAAAAAATCGTACGGTAAGGGGTTAAGGACACAGAAATCACATTTTTCCTTTCAAAATCGATCCTCGAAGCTTGGTAGCAACAACGATGTAGTTAAGAATAACAACAGTTACCGAGCAACGCGACGAAGATTTCCAGCAAACGATTAACAAGTTATATTCGCCGAGTGAGAAGCAATCTGGTCGACTGCAGATTATCGCATAACTTCCTTGCACGGTGTTGTTAAAAGTCCCCCTTCCGATCCAACAACCCTTAGGTGCCCTAGGAAACATCTGGCAGGTTGACACGATAAAACTACACCCCCGCCATCTAATGTAATTCACTCTGGTTGTGGTGGTGAGGGAGCGGAAACGAGGGCTTGAACTGGAGGTTAGCGATCGAACCACCACCATCAAGACCGGCTTTTGGTCAGAATTAATGAACTGAAGATCGTAAGGGTGGATCTCCACCTAGTGTATTGTCTTATTGTGTTAATGGAAAAAGGCGCGAATCCTGGAATAAAAGGAACAACGAATCTTCTGTTGTTTCTTGATTTCAAGGGCTCAAAGTTCTTTTCTTGTTACTTGCACTATTTTCCACTGCGTGATACTGTTAGATACTCGAGGAGTTTGCGTTCTAAGGGTTCTCTGGAAAATATCACCGTTGTTTCCTTTCCTAATTCTCAGACCCTCTCGAGCTTACGCGAGTTAGCTGAAAATATGAAGATTAGCTAGTCCGTGGGCCTCAAAGGCCTCCGTAATTAATTACGCCCTTCCCAAAGAACCTAACCCTTCGAAATTACCACCTCCATGCTCTCGATAACCAACCAAACGGTGAAGGTAGAAAATTGCACAGAATACGAAAAAGTATACAAATTACAGTGCTTCTTATAATACCAGACAGGTGAAATAATTTTCTACCCAAGCTCCACTTTTTCACAATATTCTCAAAAATATAAATTTGCATAAAAATCCGGAATCTAGTAATTACGTGGTAATTGTAACAATAAAATCCGTTACCAAAGTATCCAAATACTATCCCTCCTTGTCTGTCCTTACACTTTCTTCGTGGATTTTTAAAAATCTTGAATAAAAATCTTCGAAAAATTTGTCGAACATTTTGTCAGAAATAAACATTTCGTTGGTGTACCTAGTTTAAAAGACGAACAATTTGTTGACAGCTAATGAAAAAGTTGTTCGGAAGAGAGGAAATAATTATCACTAACAATGTATCATCGACAGAAAGCAGGTGTAAACATTATTATTCTTCGTATAAAATTCTACGTCTGATTCCACACTACTATACCTTGAGCAATCACTCGGTTACGCAAGATGTTCAAGTGCTATGATTCAACGTTTAGATCACAAGAAGCAAACGCGTAATATGTGCTTCATATGCGACAAAAAGTACAAAATAAAATTCTTTTTTAAACATTCTTCCTATATTTTCCAACTATTCTCCCAATATTTCTCGCAATTTCACATACAATTTTACATTTCCATAGAAATAAATTCGATGCTTAATTCGAACGATACAAGTCGAATAGAATGAATTAGAACGCAGCCTCCTACGATCCAATTGCAAAACTACACGGTGACGACGTCACACGTGGTGTCGATAAAAACTGTACAAAAATATGTCACTATCTGTAATGAATTGCAAAACTGTGTTAATATTCACACTGACGCCTTTGTAATTGTGTCGTGTGTATGAAGTTGCTACTATTGAAAGATACAGTGTTATCACTGCGATAGCTACCGCGTAAACATCGTAGTATTAATCTCCAGAGAAATGGTATACATTTGTAAATTTCTGCATTGTAACCGTCATCTCGCGTGTCTGTTTTTGGTCTAGATAACGAAGTATATTGTTATTAAACAGTTGCCTGGTTTCCACGTGGTGAAATTTCTATGTACACAGAGCTGCTACGAAAAATATTCGAACAGTATACACAAGCTTGCCTTTGTAACGATGGATTTTGGTTAATTACAAAAAGGATTAGGTTCGTGCTTTTCCATTGTGAAACGTCATTTATTGTTCTTCAGGATCACGCGTTGTTAGCTTAATGCATTTTCGTACATGACATAATGCTCGTATTCGCAAAATTTTCAATATTACGAATATTTTTACCTTTTAACGATTGTTTTCTTGGTGTCTGAATATTTTTCGGAGTAGCTGTGCATTCGAAAATTTATACTGTCCGCGAAATTTTAGCGAAACTTTGTTTCGGGAAAAGAAATTCTTGACAAGAAGGATTCGAAAGGCACAATTAAATTGTTAGAGTGGTAAAATTAGTTAAAATTAGTATTCTCGACACTGAAAAGTTGTCAATGTTTGTTGTTCAATTTTTTTTTCGTATTATAAAAGTGCACGTTTATAGAGTAAAAAGACGCAAATTTTCGATTTTTCAACATTTTCTGGAATCGCAGTTTTCGGCTCAGAAAGAGGAATTTTTGATTTAAAAAAAAGAAAGAAAGAAAATTGCGGTAATGGCAACAATTTGAAAATGTAAAGTATGCAAGAAAAATCGACTGTTTTATCTGACCCCCTTCTGAAGAAAACACAAGACAAGATGATACCTGTAAAATCGATGAAAAATGATATTTCATCAATCTTGTTAATAGACAAACAACTCAATTTCATCAGATTTATCATTGTATACTTTTATCTCGCTGTTATCAGAAATCTCTAGACATCCGATAAATATCATCTATCAGAGTCAATCTTTTCTTTCACGAAATTTTTATATTTCTCAATTTATTGTCTTCCCTCTGTGAAACGGAATTTCCGATAATGAAGTTTTTCCACAGTGAAGTTTTTCACAAGCTAAATACGTGTTATCGATTTCTCCGTGTCTATTATCAAGATCCAATATTGTAATCGACGATTTAAACAACCATCTGAAACGAATAAACAAACATTTCCTACGCGACGTGGAAAATATCGATTCTGCTTATTTCGATACAATCTCTGATCGAATCTGATTCACATCACGCGACACGAAATCTATCTTAAAACGCCGACAGAAAGAGCTCGTATCGATAATAATCAGTTTAGTAGATGAATCATAAAAGACCATAGGTATAATAAAAATAACAGAGTAATTAGACAAAAATAAAGGAAAAGTCAAGAAACGTCTTATTTTAAATTTACTGTTTACAAACACCGTTGGCTATTCCATTGGCCACTCCGTTGCTAACTCCGTTAGCAAGGACGGAGGGATGAGGATTTTTTCTAGGCTCCATCTTCAGCCAGAACTCGTTGTTCTTCGCCGTGACGTTCAACACACCTTTCTCCAGTTGCATCGGAAGTGTCGTCTTTTGCCCCGCTTTTATGTCGCATTTCGACAAAAGATGGTATATCAGCACTTTCATCTCAGTCAAAGCGAATCGATTACCGATACACATTCTCGGCCCGCTGCCGAAAGGCATGTACACCCCAGAATTCAGGATCTTCTTTCCGTCGACGAGGAATCTCTCCGGATCAAATTTATCCGGGTTCTCGTAGTATTTCGGATCCCTGTGGATAGAATAGACAGGAAGCCAAATGTTCGTTCCCGGTTGCACGACGAACGGTTTACCACCGGGCAACGCAGGCGGTAGCTCGAACGCTCTGGTGCATACTCTGTCGAGGAACACGACGATCGGGTACAACCTAAGCGTCTCGTTCACCACAGCGTCCAGGTACTTCATCTCGTTTATCGTCTCGTAGGTTAATTGTCCGTTGGTCCTCTCCAATGCCTCGTCGATCTCCTCCTGCAGCCTCGTCTGCGCCTCGGGATTCTCCGCCAGCATGTGCGCGATGAACGCGGACTGTGAGGAGACGGTGTCGAAACCACCGAAGAAGAACGTGAACGCGTGACAGATTATATCCTTGATCGACATACGCTTGCTCGAATCCTTCCTGTCCCTGATGTCCATCATCAGCTGCAACATGTCCGTTCCCTTAACACCGCTCGACTCTCTGCTCTCGATCGTTTTCCGCACAACGTCGCTGAAGAAGTCCGCGTGACGTTTCTTTACGAAGTTCAATCGAAGTGCTACAGCGAGCTCCGGCAGGTTTCTGTACAACATGAACTTGATGGTGTTCAGTAAACCGGTCAACAACGTCGCCGCGCGTCCGTACACGTAGAATATGTTCTTAGGCTCCTCCATGGTGTCCACGGACACGCCGTAAACGCATTTAGCGATCACATCGTTCGTGTACCTGGCGAACAAGTTTCTCACCTCGACCTCGCGCTCCTTCTCCTGCAAATTCGACAGTTTCGTCGAGAACCTCATCGCGCAGTCGGACATCAGCTTGAACATGTTCTTGATCTTGCTAGAAGTGAACGTCGGCGACAGCATGTTTCTCTGCTCCTTCCACTCGTTGCCGGCCAATTGGAACAGCATGCCGGCGAACAAAGGATCGGTTCGTTTGTCCGTGAATTTACGATGATCCGAGAAATTGTCGAAGTTCTTCACCGCGATCGATTTGAACAATTCCGGATCGCGTACAAGTATGTTAGACGAGAGGAACTCGTAGAAACCGACATATTTCGCGTCCGGATGAAGATCGTAGGATTTTTGTAGGACTTCTTGCAACGTGGCTCGTTTGGTGATCAACGATCCGAAATTTCCTACGATCGGCGTCGGCGGAACGTGTAGAACATCCTTGAACACGCTGTGCGCCCTTTTGTTGTAGTAATAGACGGCGAGGAACACCGCGAACAAGGCTAGAACAATCGGCAGGTAGTCCATCTTGTGAGGCTAGTCCCTGGTACGGGTGGCTCTCCTTTCCCAAGATGTTGTACGCGTCGTCTGACTACGAAGACTGGCTGTCAACCAGTAGATAATACTACTTATATACACAGACGAACGGTGTTTCTAATTCGCAGGAGCGGATCATCGTGAACCAACTCCCCCACGTTCATCAATGCTCTCTCTCGCGCATGGCGTTTCTGCTCTTTTGTCGTATCAACGATACGATTATCTATTTCCCTGTTACAGCGTCACGTGGTCACATTGTAACAAACGACCAATTGTCGCGAACGAGATGTGACAGCAGGCCAGAGTTGAAATTTTGAGAAATTTCTCTTTCAGAACGAATTGACTTGTTTTTTCATTATTCTGAGAAATTTGCTTGGAAATGAAGGAAATTGTATGTTTTATTTCGTACGTTTTGTGAAATTTTGTGTCACGTGGTTTTGTAGTAATTTTCTAATCGAAGGAAAAGCGAAATATTTGGGGGAATTTATAAATAAATAACGGTCACGAGGTTATTTAAAACACGATAAGACATTCTCTTGCACGCATCGCGAGATTGGTTTTATCTCTTTATCTCATTGGGAATAACGAGAAGTCACTATTAAAGTGACTTGGAAAATTTGAATAATTTTTCCTCGAGTTCGCACACGGTTTTCTGCTTTCATTTAAGAATTGTGGAGACAGAATTGCATCAACTTCGGTGGCGCTTGAAGCACTATAATAGTGGTGAAACTCGTAGCGTGTTATTTGACGAGTCATAGCGTAACCGACGTTATCTAATGTCTATCTTCGTGAGATGCGAAATAGAGACGCTCGTTAATCATGTTCATTTGCTTAAACGTTAGATCGATGCTGATTTATTCGGGCAGAAGTGTCGTGGGCAAGGTATGCGTTGCAGAGATTATGGGAACCTGTGGAGTGCTTTTTTTTTTTCATCGAGAACCCTGTTATTTTACGCTACATTGAATGAAATGTTTCCTCGTGCCCAGCCGATGCTGATTTATTCGGGCAGAAGTGTCGTGGGCAAGGTATGCGTTGCAGAGATTATGGGAACCTGTGGAGTGCTCTTTTTTTTCATCGAGAACCCTGTTATTTTACGCTACATTGAATGAAATGTTTCCTCGTGCCCAGACTGCGTGAAACAACGTTCGATTTCCTTTAAACGATTATCGATCAGTCCATTTTTATCGTGATTCGAGACACTTTGAATATTAATACGGGCTGCACGCTAAAATAAAAACGGTCCAAATTCTGGCTAAGCATTTTGGATGTGAAAAAACGACGTTTCATATGTATCAACCCAATACAGTTCCTCCGAAATGATAAAAACATCTATTCTTCACAAGTAAAGTCAGAAACTGCACATTGTTTACCCTCAAATATTCCCTTTCTCAGCCTTATCTGTATTCACAACTAAAGAGTCATCAACTTTCACCATTACTCAGACTGGACTCTTCACCTTCCAACTCTCCTACATAGTGATAACCCAAGTTCATCTTCCTGAAACCCTTAAATAGCTCTACAAAATAGCCCCATTAAATACTGTCATCCGACTGTTTCGTTAAAGTTCCTTTTCTACGCAACGTCGATCCTTAATTGCTCCGATTTAAGTGTTAAATTGAGGCAAAACCGGGAATGACCGACTGTTCGAGAAATTCCAGTTGTATTTCGTTCGTAATGGAAGAATTCGCGGTCACGGTCGCCTAATCGACCTAATTTAAGACGTTTTAGTATCGCGACAGTTGAGAGCACGACGGTGTTTACACGGAGTCCGAGTTCAAAACACACGTATACACTGGCGAGTGTCAAAGCAGCCGATGACATCGTATTGTCCTCTCTGTCGCGACGCGTGATCGACCTCGGCAGGTGATCGACCGCCGAAAATCAGATGGTTATCCACGGAAATTTGAAATCCCCGTTCGAGGTACAAGGAATGGGAGATTTAGACGATGGAGTGGTGACCTGGTCTTTGTCATACAGGAAGAGAAAGAAGACGTATGTCAAAAACTAGAGGAACTTTCTTGTAGATAGAAATTTCAAAAATCACGTAGAGGTGAAAACAGCGATTAATTGATTTGGAAGTGAAACTCAGGAATTTGATGAGAAATTAACGTACGAGCTTGTCGAACGATGGAAAAGGGTTGTCGAATTAAATGTAAAATTACGTTTTAGAAAAGATCAGAGTATTTAAATTTCACTTTAGAAATCCGCACCAACTTTTTCCGGCGCCTAATATAAAACGAGATCACGAGATAACGATATTCTACCAACGAGATTCAGAATCGTTAATTCGAAGCTGAGCTATATCGAGAATCCCAAATCTCAAACACTACCCACCCAAACTACAAAACAAAACTCTAATCTGAGACGCAAAACAATCGAAGAAATTGAATTCACCGACGTGAGTCTGAACAGAATTTCACTTGGAGATCTTCTTCTATCTCAATCAAGCTGTTTGCCAGTCTATCCGACGAAGCATGGCTGTAGCGCATCCATCCGAAACGGTTTCCAATCTCTTCCTTTTTTTCTCTTCTTCTTCTTTCGTTGGCCGTTCGGCGAAATTAGCCGGCTAGGAGTCGGCCGCGGGTTATTTGGATGTCTCTCTTGAAACGTCGCCTCAGATCCAGGATATTGCGAACGATGGGATCAACGTACGGAAACAAAGCCAGCCACTTAGCGGCAAATTAGCAATGGCTCCGGGCGCCACTGTCGCTCTTCATTACACCGACACCCTTGCACGCCCACCACCGACCGACATCCCCCCATACTTCGCCAGCTAACCCTCTTAACATCTTGCAGACAATGCAACCGCCTATCTTCCCCACTACATCTCGACCAATTAAATCTCCGCTATGACGAAAAATACCCTCGAACCGCCGGTAATCGCCTCATTATTCCCTTGCCCGAGCTATTCCTCCTTCCTCTTTTTTTTCTTCTTCTTCTTGTTCTTCTCCTCTTTTTTTTTTCGATTCATTCAGCGGCGACGTGATTGTGTTGCGATTTCGGGATGGGAGAGGTACAGAGTAGTTTTGTGTAGTTGTTGTTATTTTAGACGTGGGCAGTTGTGTTGGGTTGTGCGGGAAGTTCGCGGGGAATTTATAATAAATTGTCAATTGTCGTGAAAGTTGAACGGTATTTTTCTCGAATGGTGAGAAAATTCTCGCAACATTTCTCCAAGGTGAATCCCAGCGCACTGCTGAAATCATTTGTGAGGTGAACGATAGTAAGTCGAATGATATTTTTTCAACTGGAGCGTGGATCTTGAATTTTTCGGTGGTAACGCTTTATCGCAGAAAATATAGTTCGCTTTTGGGAGTAATTTTAAGGGTACATTGGGCTCGTCTTCAGATAACGAGTAAAATACCTTTTGGTCTTTGTCGCTATCTCGATTAGAAACAGAGATACGTAAGTTTAAATTTTTCTTACATTTCGCTGCGAACTTTCTGAACCACCCGGTGTATCCTTCCGCGTTCACCTTGCGAATAATTTGAGGAGTGCGTCGGATTTGCCTCCAATCCGATTACTGCCACTATCTCGATTAGAAACGGAGATACGTCAGTTTGAATTCTTCTTACATTTCTCTACGAACTTTTCGAACCACCCTATACTTAGAGGTGTCCAACCCTGAACGAACTTACATTGATCTTAACCCTTCAAGTTTGAGTTGAATTCCAGAGTTCCATACATTCTAACGAATTTTTACCAACCCTTTAAGTTTGGAGGTGCTTTAAACTTGTCCTAGAATTTTTTTCAGGGTTGAAGAAGTCTACTTTATACTTGAAATTGAGATGCTAGTAGATTGAAATACGTGGAAATGTGAAAATCGTGTATTTCTGGGGTTCTACCGAAACTGTGGTTGACACTGACATTGCACTTGGCTATGTACATTAATGTTTCACTCTTATCCCTGCTGTTATGATGTGCTCGTGGTAGTTGCAACCAACCAACGTGGTGTGCCGACTATATCTAATAGGTTCGTCTTCGAAGGACCACCTCCGTGATTAGGAGGACAAAACAACTATTCCTAATGGTCTAAACTTCCAAAAAGAGCGACTCTTGGCGTGGTCAGATGACTTCTGTCTTTCCTTTCCGCGAAAGGTCCCACGACACCTCCGTGCGAGGACGCATCGCGGGGGTGAGGCCCTCGGACAGGTTGAACACACATTTTCGATAGTGGTGGGGAAGGGTGGTTGGCGAAAACTATTGGTTAAAATCATAGGTGGAAAAAGTATACGAAAATGCCACCCCCCAGACCACAGGTCACTCTCCGGTACCAAGCGTACCCTTGAGTGACGCACGCGGGAATTCCGAGTGCCTCGAACGATGACTCTGGTGACCATATGAATGCGAAAAATGTACAAGTAAAAAGGGGCGAAGATTCTAAGTCGAAAGCAAGGCAATAAGGTGAAAGCGAGTTCTTAGATTGAAAGACTAAGATTGCCGTGGTGTCATAAAATTACCGCTGCTACGAAACGAGCGAAGGCGAAAAATATATACAATAGAACTACATGCTAAGAAATCTAAGGGTCGGGCGGCCGACATACCTGTCGAGGATTAAACAACTGCAAAACATGAACACCATAGATCAGAACGTGAATACAATCTTCCAACGCGGTATTTAAGTAGAATATGTCAACATTTCGACCTATATCTGGAGAACACAGCCCGACATCTTCCAACGCGGTATTTAAGTAGAATATGTCAACATTTCGACCTATATCTGGAGAACACAGCTGAATTGATTTATTATTTATACACCTTCTATTCGGAATAACCATTCGAATGTGCTGCGGGTCTTTAATAGATACTTATAAACGGCAATGAATACATTTCAGTGGCTAAATATTCTGAATACTGCTTTGTCACGTTCGTGGTAAGAAAACGCGTGTTGTATCGATGTGAAAGGAGTTATTATTGTGATTCGTTAACGTCATGGAAATGATAAACACACGCAAAGATGTTATTATTTAAAGATTACTCGCTGGAATAATCTTCTTTTCAACGAAGTTTCCTTATCTCGCAAATATGCTGCATCATTTCTTTCATTTTGCCCTGTTTGCGGAATTAGAATTAACTTTTACTGCAGAAATGC